ACACTGCAATGTTGCTGTGAGGATCCGTTAACACCTGAGAACATCTAGCATGGTGCCTAGCTGGTAGGAAGCACTCAATGAACAGCAGCCACTGTTCACTGAGCTATTAGTAGCAACCCGCTTAGCAGACACAGTCCAAGAGTTACAGTCAGTGGTCCAGGGGTCTGTGTGACACGCGAAGTGTCTCTCCGTTCCTCAGCGACCCTACCTAGGCCTGTATCTGCCTTAGAAACCTCCCATAAAACAACAGATGGAAAGTGCTTTGCAAAGTACAACATAAATGATGTCTCCTGCTTTTCTAAATTTCAGAGATTCCCGGGCACCCTGTCCACTGTGCAGCCACAGCAGGACTTTGCGTGGCAGGCACCCCAACCCGCTCAGTCTGGGAGACAGGCACAGGGCACATGGGGCCCCGCTCAGCATTTGCTTCACTATGTCCATGCGGCCACCCTCTTCCAAAGCGCTGGTTCCTAGATGTCCTGCTTGGTCATGGGGCCCTCTTCAAATAACCACGGGGCAGTGTCTGCTATGTGGTTACAGTGAAGACTGGCAGCTCAGGCACCACAAGCCACCCCATCGCTAAGGTACTCAACCCTGGGCAGCATCAGAATGAAAGAACAGGCCGAACCAGTGTGACTGCCGGAACAGCCTGGTGGGGAAGTAAGGCGGAAGGAAGTTACTCTGGAGACTTTACATCTGCCTGGATTAATCTCCCAAGCAACTGTGACAGCCTCAAATCAGTGGTTCTCAAAGTGTTAGCCCCAAGGAGCTGGGTAGAGATGAGAATTATAAGCCCCACCCAGACTGACTGATCAGAAAACTCTGGGAGTGCGGCCCAGCACTCTGCTTTAATCAGCTCTCCAGGGGATTCTGACACCGGTCAAGTATGAAGAACCCTGGCCCAAGCCTTTAACGGCAGACCCTCTGCTTTCACTCAAACATATACTGAACACCTACTATGTGCCAGGCACTGAGCCGGGCAGTGGTATTTCAGAAACGAGTAGGCACATGAAGAACATCCACAAAATCAAGTCCACAAATATTGCCAAAGCAAGGCAGGACGTGGTATAGAACAATCTGTTTCCTACCCCTCCGCTCAGACCCGACCCCTCAGATCTCTTGCCATGAAGAGAGAGCACTGGTTCTGGGAAAGCCAAACTGCCTGACTTCCCTTCCCCCCAATCCTGGTATTTCAGACCCCTCAATCCCAGGTGGCCTTCTCGAGAACAGCGATCCTCGTGGGAAACGCTCCCGAGGCCTCACCCAGCGGTTCTCAGGGGCTCTGATACGCTCTGTCCGGGATTTGGGCCTTCAGCACGCCACGGCCCATCACGACAGCGCACTCCCGGGCAGGGGCGCGGCCACGGCGCCCGGCGAGCTTGCACGCGGGTGTGCAGATGCGGACGCGAACACCTGCACAGACAGCTGGCCCCCGGCCTCCCTTCCTCCATTCTCAAGTGACAAGGTCAAAAGCACCCTATTCGCAGCCAAGGGGGAGTCAGCGCAGGGGCTGCTGAAGCGGGGAACCGTCTGGTTCAGATCAAGATTGCTCGTTCAGGACCCCACAGAACTGCTGGAGCCTCCCGTCCCTTCCTCCACCCTTCCCCAACCCCTCCCACTGGGAAACTGGGGATCGGGGTAGAAAGGGCTGACCCCAAAAAATAATCTGAAGGAAGACAACAAACAAAAGACTGAATGATACAGGCAAGTCTGTGCCACCCGAGCCCCCGTTCCCTCATCCCTTCAAATCCTGACACCAGGTCTAAGCTTGCGGTCACCAGCTACAGACCCTGCGCCTTCCGCCAGGAGGCGCTCAGAGCGCCCCCCGCCCTGCAAGGGCCGCCCCTCCGCAGCGAGCCGCGGAAGCAGGATGAGGCTTAGGGGTGGGGGCTCCCTAAAGGCAGGAGACGGACGCCTTCCATCCCGGGGACTTCAGAGCCCACCGGGCGCAACGACAGGCAGCACGGCCAGGCAGCTGCCAGACACCCCCCGGACGCCGGGGCGGCAGCGTGAGTCGCCGGCTAGGAGGGACTTTCCAGAGGCCTCAGAGCGCCCCGCGCCCGGCTCGGGCTTGGCTGCAAGAGGCCGCACCTCTCTCCGCGGCCAACGCCTGCCCCCGTCCCCCGGCACCGCCGCCTGATCTCCGGCCCTTACGCGGAGACGAGATGAGACACGGGTGCAGCCGGCAGGAAGTCGAAAGGCTGACCCGAGCGAGCGAGCGACGGTGGCGACTCCTCTCCGCCAGGGGGCCGGGCGGGGGCGCTCGGGGAGGAGGCGGGAGACGCGGCGCAAAGCCGGGGGGCTGCAGCGGGCCCAGCTCACGCGGCCCGGCTGGGAGGTT